CTATAAAAAAGAGATAAATGAGATTTGGAAGAGTATCATTCCGTGATAAAAAAAATATCACTGGTTTGTAGACTCTGCAAATGAGAAATACGGCAGACAAGGTCATTAACATCATGCCCTATGCCACCTACTGTAAAATATTAAACGTTTCTCCATTTACTTATTAACGTCATTCAGAGTTAGGAGCTCCCTTCAAACACAACACCAAAATAAACTCTTAAGAGCAGTAGCTCTCTTATGGCAGTTATACAAAGAGATACATATTAAGAAATAAAACAATAAATAAATCAAAACAAATAACAAATAAAATAAATGGATGAGGGGAAAGGCGCGGCGATTCAACACCAGTTGCTCACACTATATTATTTTGGTGGGAAAGAGTACAGTGGCTCTCATATCACGGTTATTGACATACAAAAGGGAAACAAAAGTAAATACAACATTACATGATCGAAAGGGTCAACTAGAGGGAGAAACGACATGTATCAAAGAGTAAATTAATTTGGAGACAGAGAATATTCACAATTTCAGTGGCACCCTTTGCCACCCACAAAAATTTGTTGTTACTCTTCAATTCATGCATTCATAACAACATAAGGTGGGGGGGGATTACAGTTTCCCATTTCTGTGGCTCTCTCATCACCGTTAATCAAATACAGAAGGCCGAAAAATGATGAGAACACCGTTGTTTGATCAAAGGGGTCAACAAGTGAGAGTAACAGTATTTATTAGAGAGACTGAAACAAATCAACGTTATATGATTGATACTCTTTGTCAACCACCCAGATTTGTTGTTGCATTTACAAATTAAATAGGTCGAGAATGCATTGCATTCATATCAATAGATAGAAGGAGACGGACAAAGAGAGGGGGTTCATTGAAATTCTCTGTAATCAGTTAAGGAAATGGTAAAGAGAAGAAATGGGAAATTATCTATTGGAGAGAATTTAAATTTTATTGAAGAGCAAACAAATGTCGCTGGGGACTCTTCTTTATAAAGAAATCGTAATTTTGATTTAAAATAAAAAAATATATAAAAAATATAATTTTTACGTATGATTTTACAAAATAATTTGATATAAAATAAAAAAATATATAAAAAATATATTTTTTACGTATGTTTCTACAAAATAAGAGAAGGTAAACCCTGCATTAGTTACCCCCACAATTGTAGAGCAAACAATATAGTAGAGGGTCTCTTCTTTATCAATCAAAAAATAGGTAATTTTAATTAAAAAATAAAAATATATAGAAAATATAATTTATACGTATATTTTTACAAAATTAAGAGAAGGTAAACTATGTATTAGTGACCCCACAACTGGGACAACAGATGTCACAGCCGAAAACCGTCCACCATATTTTTAATGTCATCTATGACAGCTGCCAATAGTAATAGCGAGTAGGTAGGTAGGTAGATAAATAGGTAACAAAATAAAAAAAGAGAAACATATAATACTTTCACACTTACGTCGGTCGGCCAACATATGTTGTTTGTTGTGTACAGCCAGCACCATGCCCGTTTAGACAGCGCAAGAAGTTGCTACGTAAATAGTTTTAGTACATTTGTTGTTATTTGTTTATTTATTTTTATTACCATCTTACTTTGTATGCTGACTACATAAAAAAAGTAATTGAAAAAATATATATTTGACTTACCCATAGGCATGTCTGTTTAACCAAGAGAGAGAGAGAGAGAGTGTGAGACCGATAGTAGTAGGAGTGGAATAGAGAGGAGAAAGACAAATGAGTAAATAAATGAATGCATGAATGAACGAAAAGGTGGGTGGGTGTTGTGTAGCCCAGCAAACTCACTCTTACCATAACTAGGGGAAGTTTGAAACAATTATTATCGGTGTCAGTTGTATTGTAGTTGCAATGCACAGTAGTATATGACAGGCACGCGCCAGAAATTGAAAATTGGGATTACAATAAAAACAAAAATGTAAAGGAAAAGAAAACGGAGTATAAAATAGATATGCTATAAATAGACGTAAGTTTATAAACATTTCTTCCTACACCTCTTCCTGACCAACTGCATCATCACCATTGGTGGTGTCGTTGTTGTTGTTTTGGGTGTGGGTTATGTCTCTGCGTGTGTGTATGTATTTACATGTGTTCAACGTAATTATTTGATACTATTAAACGGAAACCGTGTAAAAAGGTGTAGAATAAAAATGTAATTCTATTTTTTGGAAAAGAATTATTAATTATTTTCTTTTTCTTGGGAAATGATTTACTTTTTCCTGATGGGAAATCATGGTATACGTTATTATTTTATTTATTTACTTACATTTCAACTAGGTATGAGCGAAAGTTTTTTTTTTAAACTTTGTTTTTGAGGCATTAAAAAATCACTTTTTTAAATATTATTTATTTTATATTTAAAAAAAATATTTTTAAAATCACATATATTTGAGGACCGCAGGAGATTTATTTTTAATATTTTTTAGAGGACTACTTTTCAAATTTAAAAATATTTTTTTAATGATTTTTTATTAAATATTTTAATATCCATCAAACAACGTGGTATCAGTTAGGCATCAACAAAGGTTTTAAAATTAGTTAGTTTTTGAAGCTTTTAAAAGAAAATCTGGAGGCCCACAAATCAACTTTTTTTTTAAAAATATTCTTTTTAAAAACAAATATTTTGAAACAAGATTTCTTTGAAATATTTTTTGGAGGACTACTTTTTTTAAATTTAAAAATTTATTATAATTATTAAAATATTTATATTTTTTATATACAAATCCATGAAACGTTTTTTAAACTTAGTTTAAAAAAATCTGGAGTACCACAAATCACCATTAAAAAATATTTAATTTTTTTTAAATTTTTTTAGTTATAATATTAATAAAAATATTATATAATAAAAATATTATATAATAAAAATATTATTTTTAAAACATATATTTTGAGGATCACAGAGGAATTCCCTTAAATATTTTTTAAGGGCTCATGAACGTGCAATTTTAAAAAATATATTTTTTTAACAACCAATGAGTTCCCAAAATAACCGTGAATTTTTTAAAACATTTTTTTAAGCGATCAAAATGAACTGTGATTTCTTAAAAATAATTTTTTTAAGAACCAACAAAAACGTAAATTTTTTAAAAAATATTTTTTTAAGAATCAGGAAAACGTAAATTTTTTAAAAAATAATTTTTAAAGAAACAATAAAAAACATTAAATAAAAAAATATATATTTTTTATAAAAACAATAAAACAATTTTTTTGGAAAATGTGAAAAAAATAAGAATCAATTAACAATTTTTTAACAAATATTTTTTATGAACCAATAATAAACGTGATTTTTTTAAGAATCACTATAAACGTAATTTTTTAAAAATAAGTTTTTTAAGAATAATCGTAGTTTTTAATTCATTTTTGTAAGCACGAATAAAACGTGGATTTATTATTTTTTTTTTTGGAGTAATGTGGATTTTTTAAATATTTTTTTTTTGAGTACTCATACACATCGTGAATTTTCGGCCATCAGCCAACATGGATTTTTTGAAAATATTTTTTAAAGACCATCAGTCAATATTTTTAAAACCCATCAGCCATTGCGGAATTTTTTTAATAATATTTCTTAAAGAAACATCAACTAACGTGGATTTTTTGAAAATATTTTTTATTTTCAGCCAATATTTTTAAAAACCATCAGCCATTGCGGATTTTTTAAATAATATTTTTTTTAAGAAACATCAACTAATGTGGGTTTTTTTAAATAATATTTTTTTAAGAAACATTAACTAATGTGGATTTTTTTAAATAATATTTTTTAAGAAACATCAACTAACGTGGATTTTTTTAAATAATATTTTTTAAGAAACATCAACTAACGTGGATTTTTTAAATAATATTTTTTAAGAAACATCAACTAACGTGGATTTTTTTTAAATAATATTGTTTAAGGCATATAAGGGCGAATTTTTAAACTATTTTTAAAGACCCCTAAACGTGGACTCCTCTAAAATGTTTTTTAAGGACAAGCAAACAACTTGCATGTTTTAAAAATATTTTTTAAGGACCAACAAATATTTTTTTAATTTATATTTTAAGTGGATTATTTAAAAATATTGGTCAAGGACCATCAAACAACGTAGATTCTTAAAAAATAATGTTTCAAGGACCTAGATGGTCCCGGGGATTTTGAATTTTCTAAAAATATATTTTTAAGATTAACAATTAACGTGTATTTGCGAAAAATATTTTTAAGGACCATCTTCCAACTTGGATTTTGAAATGTTTTTTAACGATCATCATATAACGTGGAATTTTTAATATTATTTTTTTTTAATGAACATCATATAATTTTTAAAAATATTTTTTTAAATGCCATAATGTAACGTGAAATATTTTAAAAAATATTTTTTTAGATTCCATAGTGAAGGATTTTTTTTAAAAATATATTTTAAAATTTTGGAATTTTTAAACAATTTTTCAAATGCCATAATGTCACGTGAAATTTTTAAAACAATCCTTTTTTAAATACCATAGCATAACATGAATTTTTTAAAAATATTTTCTTAAAGAACATCATATGATGTGGAATTTTTAAAAATATTTTTTTTAATGTTTATTTTTAAAAATATTTTATTTTTTATGAACATCATATGACGTGGATATTTTAAAAATATTTATTTAAATACCATAATCTAACACTTTCTTTTAAATATTTTCCGAGACGTTCCTATCAATTTGATTCTTTAAATATTTTTGAAGGGGTTTCGATAAATTTGATTATATTAATATTTTCGGAGGAGTTCCTATAAAATTGAATTTTTTTTAAATAATTTCCTATCAACATGCATAATAATGATACCGTGGATTTTTGAAAACTATTCGTTTTGGAGGTGCTGGATTTTTAAAAAATATTTTTTGAGAACCAGATATTTTTTTCGGGACACAGAAATGTTTTAAAATTATTTGAAGTTTTTTAAATTACGAAGTGTTTAATTTTGTATTAATTTTTCTTTTTTTTTTCTCTTTTCCAGATATCCTAAATATTTAATCGACCAAAAATAAAAAAAAACTTCCGACCGCATAAATGTCACAATAACAACAACAATAACCTACAAAGGATTTATAGTTTCATTTGGAAACAATGGTTTCACATGCCAAGGCAATTAACGAAATGAAAGCAAAAGTAGAATTTATTTAATTTGTTACAATAAAAATTTACACACACACAAATACCCAAACATATCACAGTAGCAGTATCAAACGAGAAAGGAGGACATTTTAACGACGATAAAATAACCACTGCACACAACAACTACAGCAAAGAGTATATCTTCCCATAATAAATATATTTACAAATACTAAACCAAATGTAATTGTTTTCTTCGAATCAAAGAAAAGGAAAAGAAACAATAAAAGACAACAGCAGAAAAAAACCTACATCACCATCATCTTCATCTTCAAATCCAAACAGCATAATATAGCTAAGCGATACGGCATAAACTATTGCTGCCGCCTCTATATTTACAAACATATAACAACTAATGGATCCATATCATCATATACGTCAACATGTAAGTACAAATGCAAGCAACAACAACAACAGCAACTATAACATGGCATATCCACCATCCAACATTTGTCGTTTTTTCAAGTCAAGCATTTATTCATTTGCCTCCCAACCTCCCCAATCCAAGAGATACATTTTTTTGTTGAAACTCATATCCCCTACGTTATCACAGTTGACTCTAGATAACTTCCATTGAAACTGGTTCCAAAAAAAAATATTTGACCAATTAGCAGTATCTAAAGATAGTCCCTATTCAGGTATGATTTTTGGGGTCCACAACAAAAAAATGTTTTGAATATGAGGTTTTTGACATTTATACATGTCCATTACCATTAGTGAATAATTCGTATATGACAAAATTTTACATATTTAAATTCGTTAGGAAAGCCAAATTAGAAGTTAGAAACATTTTTGATGGTTTACAACCATCGTAAAGTAGTTTTTGACCTTTTTTACATTTACACCCCAACAATGGCATCAAGAAAAATTGCAATTTAGTGGCTAATTTTACATTTTTGAGTGATAATTCATAGTTGTAGAAAATTTTTGGAGCTTACGATAATCAAAAATTGAGTTTTATACATTTTTTACAATTATACATAACCAATTTTGACATATATCCCTTCAAATATGTGACCAATTGACTCCAACTAAAATTGTTACACATTCAGGAGTGATTTTTAGGGTTTACAACCACAAAACTCTGAACATGACGTTTTTGACATTTATACATGTGCCATACCATTACGGTATAATTCGTATATATCCAATTTTTCATCTTTATTTTCATTGTGAAAACTAAATTTTAGTTAAACTCCATTTTGAAGGTTTACAACCTTCAGAAAGTAGTTTTTGACATTTTATACATTTATACCTCAACAATGACATTAACAAAAAAATTCAATCTAGTGGTTAAATTTATATTTTTGAGTGCTAATACTTAGTTGAAAAAGATTTTTTGGGGTTAACGACAGTTAACAATTGTGTTTTATACATTTTTTACAATTATACATAAACATTTTCGACACCTACCCTTTTAAATAATTCTCCAATTGGCAGAATCTAAAATTACTCCTAATTCGGGTGTGAATTTTAGGGTTTACAACCACAAAATTGTCGAAATATGACGTTTTTGACATTTATACATGTGCCATACTATTACGGTATAAATCGTATATATACAATTTAGCATCCTAAATTCCGTTATGGAAGCTAAATATGAGTTAAAACTCCATTTTTAAGGTTTACAACTATCAAAAAGTAGTTTTTGACATTTTATACATTTATACCCCAAAAATGGCATCAACAAAAAATGCAATCTAGTGGCTAATTTTCCATCTTTGAGTGATAATTTATGTAGACAATTTTTGGGGTTTACAAAAACCAAAAATTGGGTTTTATACATTTTTTTACAATTATACATAACCAATTTTGACAATTTACCCTTTCAAATAATTCATCAATTGACAGCAGCTAAAATACCTTTACATTCATTTGTGATTTTTAGGGATTACAACCACAACATTCTAGAAGTTACGTTTTTGACATTTTTACATATGTCATTCTATTTCTGTATAATTCGTATATGACAAATTTGGCAACTTTTGCTCCGTTACAAAAGCTGAATTAGAGTTAAAAAAACGAATTTGAAGGTTTGCAACCACCAAAAAATAGTTTTTGATATTTTATACATATATACCCCAACAATGGCATCAACAAAAATTGCAATCTAGTTGCTAATTTTACATTTTTGAGTAATAATTCATAGTTGTAGAAAATTTTTGGGGTTTACGACAATCAAAAATTGGGTTTTATACATTTTTTACAATTATACATAACCAATTTCGACACCCATCCCATCAAATAGTTGACCAATTGACGGTAGCTAAATTTACTCCTCATTCATGGGTGATTTTAAGGATTTGCAACCACAAAATTCTGAACATGATGTTTTTGACATTTATACATGTGTCCATCCATTACTGTATACTTTGTATATGATAAATTTAACATCTTTTATTCCAATGCGAAAATTAAATATGAGTTTAAAAACGATTTTTAAGGTTTACAACCATCAAAAAAATAGTTTTTTACATTTTATACATTTATACCTCAACAATGACATTAACAAGAATTTCAATCTATTGGCTTATTTTACATTTTTGAATGATAATTCATTGTTGAAAAAGATTTTTGGGGTTTACGAAATCAAAAAATGTATTTTATACATTTTTTACAATTATACATAACCAATTTTGACATACATCCCTTCAAATATTTGACCAATTGACAGCAGCTAAAATGACTCCACATTCAGATGTGATTTTAAAGGTTTACAACCCAAAAAATTCTGAACATGGCGTTTTTTACATTTTTACATGTGTCATACCATAACGGTATAAATCGTAAATATCCAATTTAGCATCTTAAATTCCGTTATGGAAGCTGAATTTGAGTTAAATCCCCATTTTAAAGGTTTACAACCATCAAAAAGTAGTTTTTGACATTTTATACATTTATACCTCAACAACGATATTAACAGAAATTTCAATCCATTGGTTAATTTTATATTTTTGAGTCCTAATCCTTAGTTGAAAAAGATTTTTGGGGTTTACGACAATCAAAAATTGATTTTTATACATTTTTTTATAATTATACGTAACCAATTTCGACACCCATCCCATCAAATAATTGACCAATTGACATTAGCAAAAATACATTTACATTCATTTGTGATTTTTAGAGGGTTTAGAACCACAACATTCTAGAAGTTACATTTTTGACATTTATACATGTATCATTCCATTGCTGTATAATTCGTCCATAACCAATTTGACATCTTTAAAACCAATACGAAAGTTAAATATAAGTCTAAAAGGGATTTTGAAGGTTTACAACCATCGTAAAACAGTTTTTGACATTTTATACATTTATACCTCAACAATAACATTAACAGGAATTTCAATCTAGTGGTTAATTTTACATTTTTTAGTCCTAATCCTTAGTTGAAAAAGATTTTTGAGGTTTACGACAATCAAAAATTGGGTTTTATACATTTTTTACAATTATACATAACCAATTTCGACACCCTTCCCATCAAATAATTGACCAATTGACATTAGCTGAAATACCTTTACATTCATGTGTGATTTTTAGGGTTTACAACCACAACATTCTAGAAGTTACGTTTTTGACATTTTTACATGTGCCATACCATTACAGTATAAGTCGTATATATCCAATTTAGCATCCTAATTTCCGTTATTTAAGCTAAATAAGAGTTAAATCCCCATTTTAAAGGTTTACAACCATCAAAAAATAATTTTTGACATTTTATACATTTATACCTCAACAACGATATTAACAGAAATTTCAATCTAGTGGTTAATTTTATATTTTTGAATGATAATCCATTGTTGAAAATATTTTTGGGGTTTACGACAATCAAAAATTGGGTTTTATACATTTTTACAATTATACATAACCAATTTTGACAACTATCCTATCAAATAATTGACCAATTGACATTGACTAAAATACCTTTACATTCATGTGTGATTTTTAGGGTTTACAACCACAAAACTCTGAACTTGGCGTTTTTTACATTTATACATGTGTCATACCATTACGGCATAAGTCGTATATATCCAATTTAGCATCCTAAATTTCATTATGTAAGCTAAATTTGAGTTAAAACCCCATTTTAAAGGTTTACAACCATCAAAAAGTAGTTTTTGACATTTTATACATTTATACCTCAACAATGACATTAACAAAACTTTCAATCTAGTGGCTAATTTTACATTTTTGAGTGATAATTCATAGTTGTAGAAAAATTTTGGGGTTTACGACAATCAAAAATTGGGTTTTTACTTTTTTTACAATTATACATACCCAATTTCGATACCTACCCATTCAAATAATTCACCAAATGACGGTAGTTAAAATCACTCCTCATTCACGTGTGATTTTGAGGATTTGCAACCACAGACCTCTGAACCTGACATTTTTTGACATTTATACATATACATTTATACTATTACGGTATAAATGTTATATATCCAATTTAGCATCTTAAATTCCGTTATGGAAGCTAAATTTGAGTTAAATCCCTATTTTAAAGGTTTACAACCATCAAAAAGTAGTTTTTGACATTTTATACATTTATATCTCAACAATGGCATTGACAAAACTTTCAATCTAGTAGTTAATTTTAATTTTTCGGATGATAATCCATAGTTAGAGAAAATTTTTGAGGTTTACGACAATCAAAAATTGTGTTTTATACATTTTTTTACAATTATACATAACCAATTTTGACATATATCATTCAAATATTTGATCAATTAACAGTAGCTAAAATTACCCCACATTCAGATGATTTTTTTGGGTTTACAACCACAAAATTCAAGAAGTTACGTTTTTGAAATTTTTTCATGCGCATGGTTTGGCATAAATCGTATATATCCAATTTAGCATCTTAAATTCCGTTATGGAGCTAAATTTGAGTTAAATCCCCATTTTAAAGGTTTACAACCATCAAAACGTAGTTTTTGACATTTTATACATTTGCACCCAAATATATTCATTACCAATTTACACCCAAAAAGTACAAATTTATCCCATAAATCCCATTTGAAACCGAATCCAAATTGTAGATCATGATAATTAATGTTTACACCCCCGAAATAAGGTGTATAATACGTTTTAGACATTTACTACTTGATGACAAAACACAAATTTCTAGCTGAATTTTGCAATAGAGATGTTTCTTTAGGTTTACAACCACAAAAAACACAATTTGACATTTTTGACATATGTACCCAAAAATGTACTTTTATGTTAATGTTAGTTTTTTGGCCAATTTTGACTTTTCAAATCATTTTTACATGTCTCAAATAGTTTTTTACAGGTTTACAACCACTAAAATTACATTTTTGACATTTGTACCGATATCGTAACAACTAATTTTCTAACAAATTTTGTTAAATTTTGATAGTTTCGTATCAAATCCCGTATTGTAGATGATGAATGAGGTTTACACCTACGAACAAGTGATATAATACGTTTTTGACGTTTGCTACATTATTACATTTGACAATTTTAACTTAATTTTGTGTCGAACATTTTCCCAGAGGTTTACAACCACTAAACAACATAGTTTGACTTTTTTTGTCATTTGTAACAAAAGTGTACTTTTATATTAACTTTCGTTTTTGGACATATTTTGGCTTTTTAAATAGTTTTTACTTGTCTAAAATAGTTTTTTACAGGTTTACAATCAATAAAATTACGTTTTTGACATTTGTACCAAAATCGTACTAACTAATTTTCTTACCAATTTTCTTAAATTTTTATACTTTGGTACCAAATCCAATATTGGACATGACGTACGAGGTTAACACCCACCTAAAAGTGGTATAATACGTTTTTGACGTTTGCTACATTATTACATGTGAGAATTTTTTAACTTCATTTTGTGTAGGAATGGTTTCCTGAGGTTTACAACCACAAACAACGGTATTTGACGTTTTTGACATTTGTAACCAAAGTGTACTTTTATGGTAATTTTAGCCTTTTGGCCAATTTGGACTTTATAAATCACTTTTACATGTCTAAAATAGTTTTTTACAGATTTACAATCACTAAAATTACGTTTTTGACATGTGTACCAAAATCGTACTAACTAATTTTCACACAATTTTTTTTTAAATTGTGATTGTTTGGTACCAAATCCAGTATTGGACATGATGTGTGAAGTTTACACCCACGAATAATTGGTATAATACGTTTTTGACATATACTACTTTATGACATACAAAAAATTGTAACTTAATTTTATGTATGACATGTTTCCCGAGGTTTACAACCACAAAACAACAGTTTTTGACGTTTTTGACATTTGCAACAAAAATGTATTTTAATGGTAAATTTCATTTTTGACATATGTCGGATGTTTAAATCCTTTTTGCCATGTCCAAAATCCTTTTTTTACAAGTTTACAACCATTAAAATTACATTTTTGACATTTGTACCAAAATCGTACTAACTAATTTTCTTACAAATTTTCTTAAATTGTGATTGTTTGGTACCAAATCTAGTATTGGGCACGAAGTGTGAGGTTTACACCCACGAAAAAGTGGTATAATACGTTTTTGACATTGACAACTTTATGACTTACAACCGTTTTGTAACTTAATTTTATATGTGACATGTTTCCTGAGGTTTACAACCACAAAACAATAGTATTTGACGTTTTTGACATTTGTGACAAAAGTGTACTTTTATGTACATTTTCATTTTTTTGACAAGCTTTGACATTTTAAATATTTTTTACATGTCTAAAATAGTTTTTTACAAGTTTACATCCATCAAATTGACGTTTTTGACATTTATACCAAAATCGTACCAAATATTTTACACATCAATTCTAACAATTTATGATAATTTATGGACACGATGTTTAAGGTTTACACCCATCAAAAAGGTGTATTTTACATTTTTGACCTTTACGACATTTCGATTGAGAGTAATAGGCACAAAAGTATACGTCCTTCAAAACTCCCTTAAAAACAGAATTATGCAAATAATTCCAAAATTAAAAAAAAGAATGTTACCTTTATGAAGAGCTTACTGTCTGGGCGGGCACATGCTTTGCCCGACCCTACTGTCGTTGGCTGGCAGGCTGGCTCTTGCCTAGTGCTGTGGTGTCTGAGTGGTATAATGTTTGGATTGAATTTCACACATTTCTCTGAGGCATTTTTTTTTATTTTCTTTCATGGCTATCATGCCATCCAATTCATGGTTGGGGAAATGGTAAAAAAGCAGTAGCAACAATAACAACGACAAAAGAATGCTAGTCGGAATTACACATGTATTTTTCGCTTTATTGCAACTATAACACGTATTATACCTACAGACATATCATTTTTACATACATACATACCTACATTATATATATTTTTTTTGTAAATATTAATTTAATTTCCTCTTTTTTTGTGAATTTTCTTCTTTCAATTAACTATGTTGACGACGTTGACGCCGACGCTGCTGCTGCTGCTGCTGTTGATGATGACGACAATGCCACTACAAATTTGCTGCTCGATTTTGTTTTTTGGTTGCCCGCCGTGCTGTGTTGTGTTGTCGAATGGTGTTACACAGTATCAACCACCCTCTAGGCCAGAATTGCATCAAAAATGCAATCGTGGTTCACATTCAAGTGATACAAGTTCAGCATACAGTGGCAGTGATACCATGGCATCCGTTTACGGTTCATCACTGGATGGTGAGGAGATTGATTTCTCCGGTTTGGTGGAGTCCACCGTCGATTCCGATGAAGAAGATTTGGCCGAATCTATGGACGTAAGTAGAACAATAACTTTTAATTTAATAAATAATTTAAGTCATAAAATAAGGGGTATTCCTAAATATGTGTAAGAGAGAATGAGAGAGAGCGAGAGTGGGAGTATGTGAGAGAGAGGGTAAAAGAGACCGAGAGAGAGTGAAAATTCAATGTTTTTGTCAATTTCTATTATTTTGATGATAGCGGCTGCAATTGTTAACCGATTTTTATGAAATTTAGCATTTGGACTCCTAGGATTCCAGGGTAGCTTCCTGCAAAGAATTCTGGACATGGGTCCTTGTTTTGATGTGGCAATTGTTATTATAATCTGAGTGTTTTTTAGGAAATATAATAGGTATTTCAGTTTTCAGTAAGGAGTAAGGAATCCTCTAGTAAAAATTCGTATTCGTTTCAGAATACAACAAATATAAAAATTTATAAGTAGGAGAGGGAGAGAGAGTGAAAGAGCAAAGGGAGAGTAAGTGAGAGTTTTTGATGGTTTCTGTTTATCTGCCAATATTAGCTGCAATTGTGAACCAGTTTAAATGAACTTCGGCATTTTGGTTCATAAGACTCTGAGAAAGCTTTCTGCCATCCATGGGGAAGGAGGAGGGAAGAAATAATAGGTATATATAGAAATACAAAAACGGTATGTCAAAAACTAAAAGAGTGCTTAGCAAGAATAGGATCTACTTGATTTTGAACGAATTTTGCTCCCACTCAAGAACGAGGAAAACCTGCTCACTCCTATTCGGGCGACATCAAAAAAAAAGTATTTGCTTTTTTCTGGCCTTATGCTGGATACGAGGACATATTTTTGAGGTCATGCCAGATGTTAGGTGGTGAGTTTTTTATACCCTGGTTGGAGAATGTATACAGGGTGAGATAAAAAAAAACAGCAACAAAGTCAACGCCATAATTTTCCGATTTTTTTTTAAATTTTATTGAATGAAAGCAAAAATGTCGGAAATATCATCAAATTTTAGAATAAGTTTAGATTTGTTCGAATTGGTCATTTTTGGCACGCAATATGGCCTTCAAACGGCCAATGAAACCGTCATACGCTGCCCCAATGTTGCTCTGCGGTATTTTGGTCCATTCCCGGCGAAGCGCTTGCTTGAGATGATCGACACTTTGATAGTATTTTAGTGCCAAACTTGCTTTTCAAAATACTCCAGATGCAATAGCCCAACGGATTGGTATCCGAATATATCCAAAAATATTTTGGTGGCCATTTTGCGTTGGAAATGAAGCGATGAAATTCATTTTATAACCATTCTTGGGTGGCGCGTGCTGAGTGCAATGATGCTGAGTCCTGTTGGAATGTCCAAGGTCTGCGACCAAAATGTTTGCTTGCCGCCCAAGGCTTTAATACACCCTCCAGAATATTTTCGAGATAATATTCGGCATTTATTCTGGTGCCAGGGTCGATTAATTCGAGCGGAGAGCGACCATCGGCTGTTATGGCGACCCACACCATCACCATGGCCGGTGCATGAGTTCTGGTGGCCAACTGAAGGTGCACATTTTTAGCTGACCTCTTTGGCAAATAAAAACACGAACATTTTTTTTTACAAACTGCTGAACAACGAGTGTTTTCTCATCGGAGAACGGAGAAAACCAAATTCGGCAGTTCACCACTTTCGGCCAAGCGAAGCAACTCTTTAGCTCTTTTAAGTCTATTTTCTTTCTGTTGCGGTGTAGGTTCTGGCCGTTTTTGGAATTTCAATGGCTTAACCCCGAGCTCATTTTTTCAATATTTGCGAATGGAATATTGCGATATGTTCAGCTCACGAGCCATTTCAGCTCGTCGGCCACTGCGAAGTGGGTTTCGATCAAGTCGCTTCTTTACTAAACCAAACCAAGTTCGGCAGTTCACCACTTTCGGCCAAGCGAAGCGAAGCAACTTTTTTGCTCTTTTGAGTTTATTTTCTTTCCGTTGCGGTGTAGGTTCTGGTAGTTTTTGGAATTTCAATGGCCGGACCCCGAGCTCATTTTTCAATATTTGCCGAATGGAAAATTGCGATATGTTCAGCTCACGAGCCATTATTCGGCCGCTGGTTTCGATCAATTCGCTTCTTTAATTGTCGAACCATTTCTGCTGTTCTCTTCCCTCCACTTCCTTGATGTCGGGCTACGCTACCACGGTAACGGGTAACGAGCGACGGTACGAGACACAAAATATTTATTCACATTTATATGCAGGAGTGTTCTAACGATAGCCACTTGTGGTTTTCCAGCCAAATATAAAGAAATTACACTATCACGCTTGAATTCCATCACGAATAACTTTTTTCCGGGCAAATTCTCACTAAAATGCTTTTGTACGCTTGTAAACAATATAATGAGCTGTCACTGGAATAATTTTAACAGCTGTCCGACGAGTGGCTTAGAAATGACAACAGTCTGAAGTTGGTTGCAGTTTTTTCATCTCGCAATAATCGATCATTGGCTGATGGTATGCATCTGTCCGCAAAACTTCTTAACGTGTTTTTTAAATAATTTTCCTAAGGTACCATACGACTTAAAATCGTGGAAGTTTTTGTGTGATTATAATTTTTTTTAATTGACCTCGCATCCCCTCCCATTTCTTATCCAGCCTCATTGTAATATTTCCCCCTCCAACTAATTGAAACAATAGAATTTGTTCTTAAAGACTTAATTATTTAATTTGAGCATTTAAGAATATATCATTGTCTAAATTGTCACTTTAGTAACAATTACAAGAAAATACAACAAAATAACAACAACAAAGACAACAAATAAATTGCATTTTCAATGAAAAAATAATTTAGAACGTCCGACAATCTATTGTTGTTTTTATTTTCTATTGTTGAATGTGGTGGCACAACCGGTGTCTGGCCACCACTCCCTCGCTCTCTCTCTCTCTCTCTCTCTCACACCTTCTCTTGTCCCCCCTGACTTTTCGCTTCTATCACCGATTTTTACACACCCAAGAATATTTGACGCTATTTTGTCTACAAAACAAGTAGCTGGCCGCACTGCTGCTGCTGCTGTCACTAGGGCATAGTAATAAAATAAAATAAAAAGAGACTTTGATAGTCTGCATGCATTCAAAACTGGGGAGAAATACAGATCCACAAAAAATAATGACGTTGACCACCCCTCTGCTCCCCTGCTGCCTACCAGCGTCTCTTCGGCCAAAACAACACGAAAACTAAACGCTGTCGATGTTAAACTAATTTAAATAAGCTTGACAAACAAAAAGGTAAAATAGAAAGTTTAAACGTTTTAGACACACAGACAGAGAGCCAAACAACCGCACACACAACAAACACAATGGTGACCGCGACCTAACGTCTCGTCAATTGAATACCGGACCGCAAAACAATAAAGCGCACAAAAAAAAATAACCGCGCTAATAAAAAGCAAATAGGAAAAAAATAAACAAACCCATTCGACGCGCTCTGAGAAAAAAATGACAATTTAACAAACAAAGCAGCAAAACAATCGCGCTGTGGGTTTTTTCGTTTGTATTTTCCTAGCGGTACTAATAAAATAGGCAGTCAAGAGGACAAAAGGGTTATTCAGGTTATGCTGGTGGCTGCATGACCATAAATCAAAGGCGTTGAACTCCCAAGATGTGGTTACAAAAATAAAAATAAATAAAAAACTTTCGGAAGATATTATTTTTTTGGGGAAATGAGGGGAAGAAATAAAAAAAATAAATACGATTGCGATCCTGAATTAATACGCCCTTTCACCTCGAAATGTTCTCCAAAGGAACCGATTTTTGTAAATAAAGTACAGGTCAAATTTGAGATAATCAGTCAAAATTTAGATATGGCTCCCAGATAAAAAAAAAACGCAACAAAGTCAAATGCCATGATTTTTAATTTTATTATTTTTCTTTTGTATTTTCCTAGCGGTACTAATAAAATAGGCAGTCAAGAGGACAAAAAGGTTATTCAGGTTATGCTGGCCTGGCATATGACCATAAATCAAAGGCGTTGAACTCCCAAGATGTGGTTACAAAAATAAAAATAAAAAAAAACTTTCGGAAGATATTAATTTTTGGGGAAATGAGGGGAAGAAATAAAAAAATAAATTCATTTTAGGAAAGAAATTTGAAATTGAATGAAAATTTGAATTTTTTCTTGCGATCCTGAATTAACACGCCCTTTCACCTCGAAAAGTTCTCCAAAGGAACCGATTTTTATACCCTCCACCTTGGAAAGGAGGGTATATTAACTTTGTCATTCCGTTTGTAACATCCTTAAATATTCGTCTTAGACCCCATAAAGTATATATATTCATAATCAGCATAAAATTCTAAGTCGATTTAACGATGTCCGTCTGTCTGTCTGTCTGTCTGTTGAAATCACGATACAGCCCACATTATCTGACGTAGAGCGCCAAAATTTAGCAGAGCTATTTGCATTGTGTCTAGGATGGTTGGTATTGAAAATGAGATATATCGGTCCACGTTCTGGTATAGTCCCCATATAACGGTACCTCCCAATATTCGGTATTTTGATGATTTATGCCACATTTTTTCACGGATTTGTCTGGAAAATGGGTTTTTGTAGGTCATAACGGGTCCCTGAGCGTGTGGCAAAACATTGCATGTATAGGTCCACGTTGTGGTATAGCCCCCATATAAAGGTACCTTCCTATATTCGGTATTTTATTTTTTTTTTGCCACATTTATTCACGGATTTGTCTAAAAATTGGTATTTGTTGGTCATAATGGGTTCCAGCTCCGGTGGCGAAACATTGCATGTATGGGTCCATGATTTGGTATAGCCCCCATATAACGGTACCTCCCGGTATTCGGTATTTTGATGGTTTTTGCCACACTTTTGCACGGATTTGTCTGAAAATTGGTATTTGTTGGTCATAATGGGTTCCAGCTCCGGTGGCGAAACATTGCATGTATGGGTCCATGATTTGGTATAGCCCCCATATAACGGTACCTCCCGATATTCGGAATTTTGATGGTTTTTGCCACATTTTTTTCACTGATTTGTCTAAAAATTGGTATTTGTGGGTCATAATG